GTGTGTGTGTGTGTGTGTGTGTGTGTGTGTGTGTGTGTGTGTGTGTGTGTGTGTGTGTGTGTGTGTGTGTTTGTGTGTGTGTTACATACATACATATACACACACACACAAATACATACATACACACACACACATACATACATACATATACACACACATACATACATACATGCATACACACACACACACACACATATATATATAGTGTGTGTGTGTTTGTGTGTGTGTGTGTGTGTGTTTGTGTGTGTGAAAACTTTACAGTATGTTGCATTGGTACAACAAAAATATGGGTGCATAAAGAAATGTTCTAAAGTAAAGAAAAAACATTTTGAATATACCTTTGCAGAGTCAGATACATTATCCCAATATGGAGATGGAAACTCTACTTGTCCCATCAAAATCTGATCAAAAAGAACTTCCTGGTCTTCTCCACTTCTGCATAACAAAGAAATAAAACTGTCATTCTCTCACTGCTCCTAATAAACTAAAGACAAGCAAAAAGACAAAAAGCTTTTTAAAATGCTGCAAACTATTTTTGTTTTATGCACTGCCATAAGTGAGGTTACTTGAGCAATCTGAATACCAAAGCAAATATTTATTAGAGTCAGAGACCAGCATAAATATGAATACCAAATTTGAAATTTAAGGAAAAAACAAAGAAAAAAAGACGAGAATAAGAAAAACCTCATAAAGCAGTCAGTTTTACATTGGAATGGTTCTGACATTTATAAGCCCTGCATATTTCTTGTTTCCATTAAATACAGTTTACACTGTAGACAATTCTGTTATCATAGTACTCAAGTTTCTGTGAAAAAAAGAGATTTCCCCTAGTATTTAAGTCTTAGTAACAATATGTTCCTCCACTGCTATTTTATGTTTTACAAATGGAAGGAGGCTAGCAGCCAATATTACACCCAGACAGGGGGAAAAACCATATGGGATAGAATAGTTAAGAGATGCATTGTTAAGAGATGAATAGAAAATCATAGTCCATACCCACGGAATGGAGGAAAACCACACAGCAGGATGTAAGTAATCACACCAGCTGCCCAGATGTCCACCTTCAGGCCATATCTAAAATTGATAAGGGATTATGGTTAGGAAACCAAGAATATATGATCTAAGGGAAATAAAGGCAACAGAAAATGATACGTTGGCAAGGATCTTCATTAAATTAAATGATCTCATCTGAATAAAAGCTGTACTTTATATCACAGTTGTATAATATAAAGACAAACTTATAAATATAAGATATCAAAATTCAACTTCAATATGGTTTCTATTTAAAAGGACATTGCTTAATCATATGGGGAAAAAACAGCTGTCCATCGAATCTCTTCTACCAAGTTAGTTTACCCAGTTTCTGCAATGATTTCTGGAGCCACATAGGTAGGAGTTCCACAAACTGTGTAAAGAGGTCCATCTACTATAGTGGCCAGACCAAAATCTCCCAGTTTCAGGGACTTGCTTCCATCTTGGTGCTCATAGACCTGAAAATAAAAATGCAATTAAATTATGACAGAAATATGATCTTCTCTTAATAGCCAAGCTTACATACTTCAAGGACACAGATCCTACCATTCTCCAGCGTACTCATGTGTGAATCTGGAGTGAGGAAGAAAGACAAAGACAAAGTAGCGTGGAGACAGTGGAAAGGGTTTGGAAACTAACCAGTTTTCAGTTTAATGAACGTCAACCGTGAAACAAAATATTATAACTAAAATATAGGGGTCCAAAGCCAATACAACTTTTATGTACACAGTTCCATCTATATATGATCACAATTTTGGCATCGTGTCTAGTCCTTTAGAGACTGTTTTATTCCTGGTAACATAGAATGTAATTAATCCAAACCAATTCTTAAAAACATTTTTGGACTAGGGAAAGATGTTCAGTTTAATTCCCTGTGTGTTTAAAATGTGACAGTAGAAATGGAGGGAATCTTTGGTTTTCAGAAAGTCGGTTTTGTGTGTTTTCTATGGGACTTTTTAAAAGTAATGCTCTTTTAAATTCTACAGATTTTTTCTCTCTTTTATAATCTACAGATTTTTTTAAAATTATACTTAAAATCTACAATCTTAACAATATTAAATCTACAGATTTAAAAATATTAAGTTTAATATTTAAGACAACTCCAAATCATTTATGTACTGGCACAGGATTTTATTTTTTACTTTTACTCTCTTTTCTGCCACAAGTCATGGAAGTCTTGATAACATATTTGAAACTTTCCCATAAAAGGGTTGGGGTTGGGTAAATCACACAGAAAAAATTCAGCTGCCATGTGCTTATAGGGAAAACCATTTCTGTCCACTGCTATAAAATGTTACCATGAAACATTTCATTAAAGTAAGGGTTAACCTGTGGGAAAAATATGGGCAGCCAGGCAATTACCTACAGTTAGAACTAATATATCTTTTCATTTCCACTGTTACACAAAGGACACAGGAGGCTATAAATTTTATTTTCTAGAAATGTAATATTTCTATCACGTTTCAATTTCTATTTAATATTTAGAATAGAATAGAATAACAGAGTTGGAAGGGACCTTGAGGGTCTTCTAGTCCAACCCCCTGCCTAGTCAGGAAACCCTAAAACATTCAGACAAATGGCTATCCAGCATCTTCTTAAATACTTCCAATGTTGGGGCATTCACAATTTCTGGAGGCAAGTTGTTCCACTGATTAATTGTTCTAACTGTCAGGAAATTTCTCCTCAGTTCCAAGTTGCTTCTCTCCTTGATTTCCACCCATTGTTTCTTGTTCTACCCTCAGGTGCTTTGGAGAATAGCTTGACTCTCTCTTCTTTGTGGCAACCCCTGAAATATTGGAACACTGCTATCATGTCTCCTCTAGTCAGTGGTGGGTTGCTAATCAGTTTACTACCGGTTCACGGGTACACATACACAATGCTTCTGTGCATTCTGGGTGGATGGGCAGAGCCTCCCACCACCGCCACTACCAGTTCGGCTGAACCAGGCCAAACGGGAGCAACCCATCTCTGCCCCTCTTCCTTCTTTTCATTAAACTAGACATACCCAGTTCCTGCAACTGTTCTTCATATGTTTTAGCCTCCAGTCCCCTAATCATCTTTGTTGCTCTTCTACACTCTTTCTTAAGTCTCCACATCTTTTTTACATCATGACGACCAAAACTGAATGCAGTATTCCAAGTGTGGCCTTAACAAAGCATTATAAAGTGGTATTTACACTTCACTTGATCTTGATTCTATCCCTCTTTTTATGCAGCCTAGAACTTCGCTTTTTGGCAGCTGCTGCACATTGCTGGCTCATATTTAAATGCTTATCCACTAGGATTTCAAGATTCCTCTCACAGTTACTACAATTGAGCAAGGTACCACATATACTGTACCTGTGCATTTCGTTTTTCTTGCCTAAATATAGAACCTTACTTTTTTCACCATTGAATTTCATTTTGTTAGATAGTTTCCAAGTTTGTCAAGATCCTTCTGTATCTTAAGCCTATCTTCTGGAGTATTGGCTATTCCTGCCAGCTTGGTGTCATCTGCAAATTTGATGAGTTGCCCATTTATCCACTCTTCCAAATCATTGATGAAGATGTTGAAGAGTACTGGGCCTAAAACAGAGCCCTGGGATACTCCACTGCATACTTCCCTCCATGTAGATGCAGTTCCATTGAGGAATATGCATTGAGTGAGGTTGGTCAGTCAGTTACGAATCCATCTGGTGGTGATGCTGTCTAACCCACAGTAATAGGTTATGTCTTTCTATTTCTATTGAACCATCATACAAAATGAGATTAATATAGATTATGGAATGCAACACATTTCAATCTACAATTATGAGAAGCTAAACTTATTTTTCAAGTGTCCCTTTTGAAAGAATATATGCTCTATGCTTTTGTTTTGAAAACACCAGAGGAACTTACACAAGAGTCATAATGAAACTGTTAACAAGGAAACAGCCACAACCGTTCTAATATCAGAGGCAAAGAGAATAATGTTTCCTAATTTGCTTGCAATAAAAAATGTAAAGACTCTTGTTAGAGGCAACTATATCATGAAACATATATTCTGAAATAGTAAGATTTTTAAATATAGAAATTTATTATTCCCTCCAGTTAACTGATAAGAAATTCATGCGACCAGAATTTGTCTTTAGAAAACATGCTATGCAATTGTCAACACAAAGCAATGGCAACACCAAAATATATAAGAAAAGAGAAATATAACTGTAGTAAAAACATATGTATACTTCTGATTGTTAACTAATAAGAACATTAGTGGTGGTATTCAGCCAGTTCGGACTGGTTCAGGCAAACTGGTAGTGGCAATCTGCTGGTGGACCTGCTGACCCGACCTGGCACTATGCTGTCCTATTTAGCCATGTTTTCTAAGCCATGTGTAGGCCTGCAAGCCGTGCATGCCAGCAAAGTGCATGCACACAAGTCCATACACAGATACGGAAGGTGTGTGCACAAGTGAAGTGAGTGTTCGCGCATGCTCACATTTTTGGTGCACGAAGAACCGGTGGTAAAATTATGCGAAACCCACCTCTGCGGAACATGTTTACTGATGTAGCAGATCTACCACTATATTATTAATTATTTCTCAACATTTTTAATAACACTTCAGATATTTAGCAATGCCTATGTCAGGGAACATCTAATGAATCTTACAAACTGTTTCTCTTGGCCATTACTTTTTAATAAATAGTTTTAGTTATTTTCATTAAAAATTTCTGTGTAGCTAGGATTAATGGAAACTATAGAGGAAAATATTTGCAAATCTGAATCACAATTGCATAAGTTACCAACTAAAAGAATTCATATTTTCCATAGTTGATATTTTTCCTAAAGATTTTAAAAAAGAAAACTTTGAATGAAGAAATTTAGACATTTATTTTTTTTCCTATAAATATATAGCAAATATAATGAGGGAGACAATATTGCATGTTCTAAATCTTTGACAGGCGCACAATCCAGGATTTGCCAGATATGCTGGGACTACAACACCCCAAAATCCCTGCTGGAATGGAAATGACTTACTGGATAATGTAGGAATTTACTATCTGATGGATATCAGATTGAATACTATAACCTCAGCAAGAAAGATTAAAATATATAATCAAGGCTGAAATAAGAAACAGTAATAGATTCACTATCTGCCCTGTCAAGATCAAAGAATGTAAATGATCATTTAAAGTTCATCTTTGTCAGAAAGTAAGGTCTTTACAAATTCTATTTTCCTTTGAGCCCTGAAGGCCAATTAAAGAAATGTGGATTAGTGTAAATTACTCACTATGTAGTGCTTTCACTGTTTTAGCTAAGCAATAAAACAGTGTAATTGTACAACACTAATTGAATCCAGCTACATGTAATTGTGTGCTCCCATATGCATCCTATTATTCTAAAGGCTATCCATATTTTCTAAGCTGCTCTGTGATCACTGCAGATGGCAACAGTCAGAGAAGTTGTTCTCCTGGGATTATTATATGGCTATAAAGCTATCCCATGATTTGACAAAATAATCACACTAAATAGTAGCAATTATGGAAAAATGTTCCAATTAAAATGGAAAAACTCAGCTTTCCAAATGAAGTGAGCACAGACTATTACAGTCTTCCATAAACAACAGACATTCCAATTTTCTATGTCAACTAAAAGCTTATTGATTAATGCATATTTTGAAATATAATTTAGTAATCTCCTTATACTCTGATGGTTCTTTGTTTTTAAGAACAGGACACACCACAGCATAGAATTTAACTATACAAAATGTGCAGCTACAGCACAGACCTATTGTAACACACATTTAACACACTATTGACCTTCCTGTGCACTCTGATCTTCCTCATCTATCAATTGGCAGGCTTAAATCAGTGTCTCTACCCCTCGGTGTGACTGTGGTTTTCCTTGACAAAATATACCTCACATTGTGTCCAAATGTCCATCAAGAGCTTACACCAGCCCAACATAGACCATTCTGTCCTTGAAAGGCTGGGTGGACTGGATATTAACATTTGAACTACTGTAAGTCCATGTATTTCCCATACGCTAAATAAATAAACATGTAGGTGTACATTCTTTGCGTGAAATAAAATTATGGACTAAGATGGCCTTTGGTTCAATCCAGTAAGGCCATTTTTTGTTCTAATTTTGAAAACTATTTTAAGCTGAAAGGGTCCCTAAATTGACTGAAATTTGAGATAGGTGATTGATAGATGATTGCTATGAATTAGATGTATCAAAATCTCTATCACCACTTAATGTTTTACTTACCAGCAGATTTTCAGGTTTGATATCCCTGTGAACAATGTTCAAGGTATGAAGGTATTTGATGGCACTGGCCAGATTGTACAGCATCCCACTGGCATCCCTCTCTGTATACTTATTTGTGGAGGTAATAGCATCAAAAAGATCTCCTCCCTGAAGTAAAATGAATGTAACATATTAGTATAATCCACTATGATTCAGGAGAAGGTTCATAATGATCGATAGCATTTTTTTCAGGATATCTTAGATTTCCCATTCTTAAAGATAAGAATCAAATCTGCAGTGGACATTCTATATATCTATAAATGACGAGATTAATTCAAAGAATTCACAGTCTAGCCTAGGAAAAAAAATGTACTTCAACTCTTCATGGATTCTGTCATTTCAGTTTGCCATTGGTAGTAGCCATTCAGTAAAATTCTTATACTACAAGTTCACATTACTTTAAACAGTCATTCCAATATAATACATATTGTAAAACTTTTGCCAATAGTTAGAAAGAGGAAAGGAAATTAAGATGTAAGAAGGTAAAGGTAAAATATTTAAAGTAAACAGGGAAAGTCTGATGTTCTGTTACGACCCTAATGCAGGGCTCCCCAACTCTTCAACTTATTGACTCCTCATGAAGCTTCAGATTGTATTATCTTTATTTATTAAATTTGTTTGCTGCCAATGTCATCACAAGGCAACTCAGATAGTTTGCTAACCCCCAAATAATAATGAAAATAATTTAATAAATATCACTGAATAGTACAACTACTACTAATTGTACCAATAGTAAGAGATGTCTATTACCAAACACTAACTATGTGATTTACAACTCCAAAACAACTGGAGCACCATTTGAAAACCCAAAGGCAATGACCAAATCACCATCAGTCAACTGCAAAAGGCAGATTTACTTGGAACAGCTTACTTCCTCTGACAATGCCTTTAATACCATCAAACATTATCGATCTATCTCAGTTTCTTCAGAAGGACTCAGTAGGTGGATTAAAAAAGCCAAATTCAATCTAAACATATGACATACCATAACAATAATATGAACCCCTTAAACAGTTCCATAAAGCCTAGAGTAGAGGTGTCAAACTCACACCAGGGTTGTGTTTCACCTTGGGATGCTGGGGTGGTTGTGGCAACTCAACCACTCGTAGATGCTCTGTTTTCAGCTGGATGGCGTCCTGCAGCCCTCTGCCAGCAAAACAGAGCTCCGGGAGATCACGTGGCCAGCCTGGGCTCTTTTTTGGGCAAGGATGACCTCATGCAGCCCTCTGCCAATGAAAACAGAGTTTGGGATGGCCACGCATGGCCCACCCTGGCTTTGTTTTCAGTAATGACAGCCTCCTGCAGCCTTCTGCTAGCAAAAATGGCGGCCTGTCCTGGCTCCGTTTTCAGCAGCAACAGCCTCCTGCAGTCCTCTGCAAGTAAAAACAGAACTTGGGGAGGCTGCGCCCTCCTGAGCTCCATTTTCACTGGCAGAGGCACCGCGGGCCAGTCCTTTGCTGTTTCCAGGGCGGCCCTGCCAGCCGGATCTAAGCACCCCATGAGCTGGATCCGGCCCATGGGTTTTGAGTTTGATACCCCTGGCCTAGAGGGTCAATATTGATTGCTTTGCTGAACCCTGCCCTCAAGTGCTAATTTTGCAAATAATCTAATTGGATATAATTCAACATTTTACTTTCATCTTCAACTTCCCGATTTCAGTCATATTCAGTCATAATGTTTTAATAGATTACTAACTATTAGCTAGTCAATGATACTGTTTGAGTTCTTCACTAACATTGCACTTTTCTGGAAGCATGACAAACTGGAAACAGCCTTTAATTAAAAAGGGATGGGATAAGATGGAAGAACAAACCTTATCACTTTTCACCATAAGGCACTGACATCCGGAAGAACAATGACCAATTACTTATTTACTACCTTCCAAAAGAAATGCTATAATATTCCCTTTCTCATGGGAAATTGAAGTTAGTTCCTTTGAACAGCAGGAAGAAACCCTACCATAAATCATGCTTGTTAAAATAACTAGGGCAATGCAAGGCTTGCATAATAATTTAGTCCCGGTACATACAATGGCAGCTTGCCAGCAACCAAATCCTCTCTCACCTTTCATACTGACTACTTGAAATTTGTTTTTATTTAGATTTCTGAAATCCATTTTTACATTTAAGGACAGAAAGACATGCCTGGAATGAAAACAGAATGTATGCACAGCAATGGGACCCACTCACTGTATATTAAGTTTGTTGTGACCAATGAAAGCATAATGTTATTAACTAAAGTTTGACATGCCGGCAGTCCTCTCCTCTTGAAAACCTTTGCCATTAGAGAATTTAATTTACATGTTAAGCCTTCAAAAAGCAGCCCTTAGCAGATGGTTACTCAGCTGTAAATGGGAATAGTGGATGGATTATTGAGCAAGCTTCCAACAATACTTGTTTTACTATTTGAAAAAGAAACATATAACAAGATTTATTCAATTTTAAACATGCAGCCCCATTATGGAATTCTCTTTTGGGGCAGGCTGGCACAAGTAAGCAAAGCACAGAAAGGGAATACAAAATAGTAAGGCATAGAAGTTAAATCCATAAATTAAGAAAATAAAATATAGCTATATCTTGTTTACACCAATGGCATCCACTATACCTCTCCATATTTTTTCATTCCTGCGGAGAGGAAAACCAGGAACTTATTTATTAGGGGAAAAAAAATCTTAATTCCAGTAAAGCATCCCAAATATGCACGTCTTCATTTAAGAATCCAATTTGTTCTGTGAAATATTATAGGGGAATGTATATGCTTTAGATCACATAGCAGCCTTCACTTCATGGTTTAGAGTTGAAAAGGACCACAAGAATGATCTAATCCCGTTTCAAGCAGAAAGATCTTTTTTGTCCCCTAGCTATCTCCCTCCATTTCTGTCCTTTTTTATTACTATGTGCACAAAACAACAATCCCATCTGGTGACACAGCTTCAATCACCTGCTGCCTTCCAACAATTCTGCCATCTGAAGCCTTCCCTGCAGAACTACCCACCAAGTGATTAAAGGAAACTGCTTTGAATACCTATCAAAGCTTTTACTAGCATATAACACTAAATCTTTTTCAACTCTACAAATTTCCTTCTGATTTTGTTTGGTTTTTCTTTTGCCACTTATCAATCCGCATGGCATCATAATCAGTTACCTTCCAGGTGGCACTTCCCAAATATTCCTTGGTGACTTTGAAAACAGGGGAGCTACGTTCCTAACTGATAGTAATTGAGTCATTACCTACATACATAACATCAGACTCCTGCAAAGGGTCGGCAGGAATATAGATTAGAAAATCAATTTGGTTACTAGTGCTGGGTAGATCAATTCTTACTTCCATGCCAGGGAATACTCTCTGGATTTAAAAAAAACATGTGACAATCAAAAAGAAGACTAACTCCATTTCCACAGAATCTTTATATTACTAGCAGCAGACGTGGGTTTCTGCCGGTTTGCCCCGGATCGGGCAAACCAGTAGTGGCAGCGGTGGGAGGCTCCGCTCACCCGCCCAGATGCTTCTGTGCATGCACAGAAGCATTGTACAAGTGAGCGCGCATGAGTGAACTGGTAGTAAAATTAATTGAAACCCACCACTGACTAGCAGATTTGCCACTACAGCTGGACAGTGTCTCTCCTCATCAGGATATAGATGAGAGTGTGAGTTTAAAGCAGGCCAAGTTTAATTCCAGTTCACTCTTTGAAAGTTCACATCTGTACAATCATAAGGAAAATACTTTTCCTGGTTAATTTTCTAGTGTACATGGCAATCTTTTCACAAGCAGAGTCTGTTTCAAGCCTATATTGGTATCCTCAAAAATTGGTTTACTTATTTATTTTATTTCTACAGCCATCTCAACTAGTGACTCTGAGTGGTGTACATCATAAGACATAAAAACAATTAAAATAGTATAAAGTACAGTGTTTCCCTGAAAATATGACCTATTCCGAAAACAAACCCTAGTCCATTTCATGCCTTGGCCTAATATAAGCCCTATACCAAAATAAGCCCTAGTTAAGTCCTGCCCACCATGTAGTTGTACGAGGTGGTGCAAGGTTCAGGCATAAAAATCAAGCTAGGGTAGGGGTGGAGTGGTGGAGTTGCCCAATTTCTACTGCAGTTGCTTGTGGCCACTTGTAGCTGGATGCCACGTGGCGCATTGTGCCGTGCAGCTGCTCATGGCAGGATACCACATGGCTCATCATACCAGAGCTACTGCTCACAGTAGAACGCCGCCAGCCTTGTCATGCTGGTGTTGCCACTCATGTGCATAACAACACACCACATCATGCAACCTCCTGCCATGTGCTTGAGTACTAAGTGTGATGAACCTCATACCATTCTGCTGCGAGCGGCAGCACTGGCGCAACGAGGCTGGAGGTGTTCTGATGTGACCAATGACACTGGTGCAATGCACCATGTGATGTCCAGCCTCAAGTGGCTGCAGAAGTCATGCCAGTGGCATAGGCATGACAAGCCTTGTGGCATTCTGCCCTGAGTGGCGGCACCAGCACGATGATGCTCGCGGCTTCCTGCTACAAGTGGCCAACAAAGTTGGGCAGTGGCATGATAGGTGTCAGGGCATGGGAGGCATAGCTGCAGTGGTCCTAAGGTAAGTGGGTAAGACACTGGTGCCTATTTTGGAGACAAAAAGAAAATAAGACCCAGTCTTATTTTCAGGGAAGAGATAGTATATGGCCCCAAATAAAGCTGTCACTATGGATATTAATGCAATCAGGAAACAGGGTCTTTAAGACACTTGTGGCTCCAGGTCCAGGCACATAACCAAGTTTTTAATGGTTTTATGAAGGATCAACAGAGTTGGGGTCATCCTGACATCTGAAGGGAGAATATTCCAGAGAGAAGGACTATGGCAGAGAAGACACATTTCCTGGTTCCCACCAACATTCTTTGGCTGATGGAACCCACAGTATGCCCAACTTGCCTAACTAAATTGTAGACAACTAGATAGGTAGACAATTAGGACAGGATAATCCTTTGGATAACCTGGCCCCAAATCATGCAGGACTTTAAAGATGATAACCAGGACCTTAAATTGCACCTGGTAACACACTGGCAATCAGTGTACTTACAAAACAGTGATGTTATTGCTGTTCACTCATTTTGAAATCAATATAATTTACCATCTATTCACTCTTGGTCACATCTCTTCTTATTTTACCACATACACTTTTTTAAAATTCACTTTCCCATTCAAGTACTTTTGTACTTTCTCCTAGTACACCCAGCTTCCATTTTCATATAACAACACGGGGAGAAAAATGTTCTTACACATACAGTATACATTTTAGCCTCTTTCAACAAATACTCACACCTTACAATAATTGACAAAGTACCCCTACAATTAGATGAATATTTACAAGTTACTTCATCCATTTCCCATCTTTAATAAACTTTCTATTGAGGAATAGTATATCTGCTCCATGTTCATACACATATTTCTCTACACTGAAGCTAAGTTTAGAATTCTGATAAAAGGCTAACAAACTAAGCAGCAGCAGATAAATGTTCACCTGTACTTACTTTTACAAGCTCCATGACAAGATACAACTCAGTGGGCATATCCATTTCTTCAATCAGGAGAACAATGTTGGGATGTTTGACCCGTCTTAAAATAGAAACTTCATTCTGAATCATATGTTCCTGCATAAAAGGACAGGAATATATAAATATATATGAAAAGAGAATGGAAGAAAACCATATAGTTGCTCCAGCACCTTTGCCTTATTTAATGGGGTAAGTTGTTCTTCTAATTTATCAAGTCAGAGGTCATGACTGTAGATGCCATAGGCTAAATAAAATCAATATATTCAACTTCTGGTTTTCTTGGCAGTGGTGGCTTGCCAGTATCTTGTTTCTGAAGCTGGAAGAGATATGATTGACCCCCAAATACTCTCACTAGCCTCTGCTGTGAATTGAGGTCCACGAGTGTTAAAGTTACAAAGTTTGAAGGCCTCTGTTCTGATTCATTGACTTAATCACTACACTAAACTGATCTCCTTTAATGGGGCATCCAGGCACATAATGGACATGAAACTCAGTATTTATTAAGAGTTTTAAAACCCTCAGTTGTTGCATGAATCAATGACTATGCTGAGGCTGAGAAAATGAATATCAAAAATAAAACAGAGGTAGAAGATTTAAACTTGAAGTATTTCATTTAGATTTAAGCTTGCCTATATTTAACATGTTCTGAATATTTGTCTTTTAGTATGGCTGTAAAGAATTACACTTCCAACCTTTTAACTCAAAAATTATATATAACAAATCATGTTTTCCCAAGCAAAAAAAAAAAGAAAGGAAAAGAAAATAACAGCTGCATTTCTTTAGACATTTTAGCTATTAATATTTTTCTTCCCCGGACTTCTCCAAGCCAATGTATTATGCCTTGACCTCTCATCCTTCCGAAACTGAACATCTTGTTGTTTTCATGTCAGGTTTCTCAACTCACATAGTTTTGTAGTACTTTGCTTTTAACCCCTAATGAAAAATCTAAGTGGTCTGGGACCAAACTGGTCAAATAACCTTTTTTTTTTTTGCATATAATTCTGCTTGAGAATCAAGATCTGTCTCAGGGCCCCTCCAGATTCTTACATAATGGCAATATGTAAAAGGGCCTTTTCTGTGGCAGCTTCTCACATCTCATGCATCTGCCCTATCTATCTATCTATCTATCTATCTATCTATCTATCTATCTATCTATCTATCTATCTATCTATCTATCTATCTATCCATCCTCTATCAGATCTACATTGCTTCTCCATTGCTTATTTTACAACATGGTAGCCTTTTTAAAAAAAAATCAGAGTTATATGAGCACTTCAGAATATTTTAGAGACCATGAGTCCGGATTTTCGTTGATACTTATATCCTGTCCAGTTAAAACATCTGTGAGTGGTTTAGAAGAAAAAGAATAACACACCAATCACATCAAATCAAGACTCAACAATAAGTATAATATGGCAGCCCATCCATCATAAGCCAAATTGTCTTTCAATAAAACTCTGAACACGGCTGTTTCCTCCATGCATTTGGGTTAGGAGGGTAGGCAATGCAGCTTCATCACTGGAGGGTCCCATGGGCAACATGGATCATTGCTTCTATTGCTGGATTTTAATATTTCTATGCCAACCAAAGTCACTGTTGTGAGATGGGAAGTGTCAGTCTTATTAGGTAGGCCAGGCCTGGCTAAGTAAGCTAATTCTGTTTTATTATAAAGCTACAATAATATAATCTTGCAAACCTGGAAGTACAATTCCCTTCTCCTTCACAGCCCAAAAAACTAGGGTGGGGGAGTTGTATTCTGAGCCTCTTGCCCTACGCACTATCCAACTTCAGGCTATGCTGTCTCTTACTTGATTATTCCCTTGGCAATTTCTCTTCACCCAACCTTCCAAGATCTTTCCCACATACAAGAAGCTATATCTATTATTTAAATAAATGGATAAATAATGGAACCCCTTAAAACATACACCAAAGTGTACAATTAAATAAAATGCCCAGTCTTCACTATTTTCAGAAGTATCAGCAGGGCAGGGGCCTCCTGTAGCTACCATGGGATGTGTGTAGCAAATAGGAAAGGCACCATCAATTTTTTCAGGTCCAAATCTCCCTGATTTGTTACCAAATCAGGTATCAAAAGCTTCTCCTCATTTATACACATACAGGTCAGGGAGATTACACTTGAAAGAAAGAATTCCTGATACATCTTGAAGACATGATCTATAAGGTTTTATACGTTAAAACAAACACTAATTTAATTTGAATTTAATGTAAATGCAGTTGGATATTTATAAAAAAACATGTGAGGTAACCAGAGTTTGGATATTATATTAGAAGAATAATTCATACCTGCTAATATCTTGGCTGCTGAATATTATCATTATACATTCTGGGTCATTTTCAAAGGCAGCCCTATGCAGACCATATTATAATAATCTACCTATATCGGCTGATGAAGTGTTCATAGAAGTTCACATGTAGCCAAGCTCATATTACAGGGACTCCCATTCATTTCATCAGTTTCCACATGGCCAAATAACTCCAAGATAACATCACAAGAGATTATTCACGTCATCACATTAGATTCCAATTGATACGTAATTCTGAGTCAATGTAAGCTATTTCTTCTATAAAGAACCTTGTGAACATGTCACGGTGCCCTGCCAGATCCTTGCTCCATCTGTTGTTCAGCAAATGTTGGACAGCTTTTTTTAAAAACCACTAAATTGGAGTGCCTGCAGATTTGATCTAATTCAAAAACCGAACATAAGATTCCTCTGAAACATATGATACTCCACTGAGGATCTCAATACTTACCTTTCCTCTGCATTTACTTTTCTTAATGATTTTCAGGGCATATTCTCTACCAGTCGACCTAACAACATTCAGAAGAAGGAAGAAACATATTAAATACATTTACCCAATATTGACAACATTGTACAATTTAACACACAACCTCAGATTATTTTGCAGAGCAGCCTAAATGTATACCTTAATAGAAATGACTAGAAAATCTACAGAAGAAAATAACGACCATTTTAGAAAGTTTCTATTTTGTTACTGTGGCAAGCTGCTGTGAAAATGAAGAGATATAGGATATTGATTTAAATAATATAATGGCTAATAGAAATGAAAATATTAAAGAATAAAATGAAGTTTAAATTCACTGTTTAAAGCAAAGGCTTAGGAAAAATAAGAAGTCCACACATGTTTTATCATATTGCACCATTGCTTAAAAAAAAAAAGGCAGCATAATTCCCTGAGCAAGGCATCATTTCCCCACTAGAGGGCTCCTTAGCATAGTATAGTTACTCAGAAATAAGACACTTCATCATCAAAAAGCTATCTTTATATAGATTACGATTTGGAATCATCATCATCATCATCCTTCTCCCACCCCCATATTTTTCATCCTAGGCTTGTATGTTCAACTTTTATTTTTAAAAAAAATCAAATTTCATAATATTATCAGTTCTAGTGATACCAAAATATATGCAGATGCTATTTTATTCTTTGCCTCATTAAGTGATAATAAATTCTCCACTCAACCTCCTTTTTCTTTACTTTCCCTCACCTTAAAATATTACACTTCAGATGTGATCAAATATATGACAAAACTTTGGTAGGATCGCCTGAGCTTACACCAGTGATGGCGAACCTATGACACGCGTGTCAGTGCTGACACACGCGTGTCA